CAGTGACCACAATTTCAATTTCAATAAAGGATTCCTAAAATCATTCTCTACGCAAAAAAAGTGGAATTGAGAAGACAGTTAAAAATTCACACTAGTTGACTACGTAATTTAATTATATTTGGATCTGTTCCTTAATTTAAAATTTTGTTTGAATTAAAAAAATAATGAGAGGAAAATGCTATGCACTAACAATTCTCATTTGCCTAACTAATTTCGTTTAGAAGCAGATGGCGGCCGGTTGAGTGGACAACGTAATTAATAAATCGAGAACAAAGTAATTGGAGAGTTGGTCGATGAGGAAAATTAATTTAGTGCTCCTGTCTCCACATGATCTTTCTATTCAATGAGTGACATTTGTAAAAAAAAAAAAAAATTACTCTCTTTTTTCTCCCGAGTAGTTGTCATATTTTCATTAGTTTGAACAATTAAAAATTAGAGGTAATTAAAATTAGTTTCCAAAAAAAAACAATTGATGCTTCCGAAGCACCAAAAATCTTCTCATTGATGAGATAAATGTTACTAGTACGTAAAATATTATTTATTTCCCACATATCATTAGTCATTACTACTAATAAATAAGTAGTACTGAACAATATATTGTTTTTCCCTGTGCCAACAAATTAATTTAACGTTTTTAACCTTGTCTCAAATCTATGCATACGCATTTATTGTTTTTAACCTTGATCTAGATTTTGCCCGACATTGTAAGCGTAGAAAAAAAAAACGCTTTGGAAACCTGTGGAGGGAAAATAAAAAGTGAAGACTCAAAATTTTCTCAGTCAATGAGAGTAATATCATATAATATAATCAATACCCTACACCATTAAATCAATTAATATATGAACGTTTTTTTTTTTGTGTGTGGAAAGTATTAATATATGAACGTTATATCATATAATTTTATCTTTCTTCTTTTTACCTATAATGTAATAAGGAATCTTCAAAGAAAATAAATTATGTTAAGGAATTGTGGCGTGTTGTAAATAAAATTAAAGAGGATCCAATAATCTACTACCAAAGTAATTAATAATTAGTGGTTTAATATTTCAATCTTAATTTATTAATAACTAAAAATCTTTGTGCGTCATAATTTGCATACTCAGAAAGCCAGTGCTCTAAAAAATAAATCTGACTAATACATATTCAACCATGTTCGAAATTTCAAATTTGGAAAATTTTCATTTCAAGAAAATAGAAATTGATTGAATTTATAAATGAAATATTTTGTTTAAGAAGTTATTAATTTTAGTTTCTTAATTTATTCATATACGTTGACAAATTCGCTTATAATTGTTTAAATTTGAGTTATTTTGATTAATTTAATATTTAATTATTTGGACTAGCGAGTCTTATCAGAGTTACTTATTCCTAATGATGTGGTTGTTGTGGTGGAGTGGGATGCGGGTGTACATGAAAAGACAATTCGGGTTTCACGTCACAGAGTGTGCAAGAAGAATGAGTATATTAACTGAAGAAGAATGTACTTGGATATCTATTCCTCATATTTTTGTTTTGGAGTCTCACAACGATTAAAATTTCATATTATTCATAAAAAATTATTTAAATTATGTGGATTGAATTTTTTTCTCAAAATACTGCGTCACTTAATTTTCTACAGTACCTGGTCAGTTAGATGTAGACACGTGACAGTATGTTCACGGCCACGTAAGCTGTTGTACAATACAATGAGATTACGAGACAGACAACGTGTCAAAATTGCTATGCTGCAGTGCATATTATGTATCAATTTTTCTGACACGTGATCATACATGTTGTGCTGCATAGCATATTATGTATAAGTAATCTAACAATCCATCATTTTTTGTCTAATAAATTAACCATTTTCCTTCTCATTTCTTGCATAATTGTGGTGTAATAAATTATAGGATAATTTTAATTATTGAATTTAGTATTTTGAAATAAAATTGTTTAAGAAAAATTAATATTGATTTGAATATTTTAATTTTAAATAACTTATGTTAAAATAATTTAATTTAGGACTGTTAATTTAATTTAATTTATGTGTATTAATTAATTTAATTTAATGTAGGTGTGTTAAGTAATTTAATTTAATTTAGTTTATGTTAGGTTAGGTTAAATTATTTTAGAACTGCTAATTAATTATTTTTAAGATTTTTAATTAATTTCATTTAATTTAGTTTATGTTAAGTTAATTTTTTTTGAACTATTAAGTAATTTAATTTAATTTAGGAGTGTTAATGAATTAAATTTAATTTATGTCTGTTAATTAATTTAGTATATTTCAATTTAAATTATTTTAGAAATATTAATTAATTATTTTTTGGAGTGTTAATTAATTTTATATAATTTAGTTTATGTTAAGTTAAAATTGTTTTGAACTATTAAGTAATTTAATTTAGGATTGTAAATGAATTAAATTTAATTTATGTCTGTTAATTAATTTAGTTTAATTTACTTATATTAATTTAAATTATTTTAGAACTGTTAATTAATAATTTTTAAGAGTGATGAATTTATTACACTAAAAACGCTTGGCTGGGCTACTTACACATAATATGCTTTGCAGCATATCATGTATGGCCTGTGTCAGAAAAGCTAACACGTAATATGCTATACAACATAGCGAGTTTAACATGTGTCAGACATATAACACGTCAAACTGACACATAACATGCTATGCAGCATAACAAGTTCGATACGCTGTCTGCCACATAATCTTGTTGTACAGTATATCGACCGACGACCATGAACCTGGTGGCACGTGTCTACACCTGACTCGCAAGGTGTTATAGCGAGTCAGGTGATTTGACATTTTGAACAAATTTTTTCAATCCGTGACATTTAGATAATTTTTTGTGAATAATGTGATAATTTGGTCGTTGTAGTCCTTGTTGGCTCTTGTTGCGGGGCATTGGCTCTTTTCTTTTCTCTTTTTCAAAGTCTTCAAGGTTATGTATTTCTTTGACCGACCTTAAACTTGTACATCTTCGTATCTTATATTTTGGTCATTCAGTCTGGCCATATTGAATTTTCCTCAGTATTGGAGATTAGTAGACTATTCTCACGCGGTTGAACTCAAGACAAGGAATGTGAGGATTAGGGGTGTTCCTCGCTGATGATGAAGTACAACGTGTAACAAATCTCCGTGATCGAGAGGAGACTCATCACATTTCGGCTTTCTTGAGCATGAGTGGAAAGAGACAACACATGAGAATGTCACTCCCGACTTAGAATAGCTTAAAGGAGATGAAATGTCAAAATGCTCTTGGGGTCTATTGTTCTATTGTAGCGTTACGAACCTCCTTGAGGACCCATGACTTTTAGAATCAACATACGAGTATATTTTATTATTATTAATTAGGACTTTTTACCGTAAGCCCCTTCTATAAATAAAGAATTAAGGTTCTCAGATATACATTCTCAACTGACTATTCTTTTAATTGTCATTGTACACATGCCTTTGGCTTTATGCCTATGCATAATGATCCACTGCTCCTTATAACATTTCTTTCATAAATCACTGGGAATGTACAACATATTCAAGATGCAATTACTAACTATCAATTAGATATTTCCGATCCTCCTGGGATCGATCATGTAGGATTCTACATTTTAGGAATCTTTGAATATTCCTCGTGGTTGAAGCGTGAGCTAGGATGATTACCATTCACGCTTGTGTTGTGGAGGGAAGGGGACACTTGTCTATCCGATCCTTCCTCAGTTCCTCGATGCATCCATCAGTCTCAAAGGGCTCCATTATGCAATTGTAGTTTTGGTGGGACATCTAATAGGGCCCCTTGGCGTCCTGGAGCGATAGTCCTTAGCAAAAACTTATATATCGATAGCTCCGATTGCTCTAGGATAGCTTTGGCTCACATCCATCATCTCCTAATTGATAGATAATCAATTTGGAAAACAATCCTTGTAGTTTTAATTCAGGATATGCCCTCTTAAAAGGGTAATCTCCGATCCTTATAAAAAAGGAATCTTTTTCTTTGTTTTTATTTCGAGAGTTTTCTTTATTTTTGAAAAATATTAGAATTTTTTTTTGTGACGGATCCTAATTACCTCTTTGAGGCGAATCAGAACTCCGGTATTTCCATGGGTTCGACTCTTTGAGCCGTCTATGAGACTAATCCAGAGTTCGGATCATAATCCAAGGATTAGGGTACTTATGCCCCTTCCTAGATGATGTTGGTGGGATTCGAACCGAAGTCTTCTCCCACCACTCAGTCCCCATGCCACCAACTGAGCCAAGTAAAATATTAGAATTTTGAAGTAACATACTAATCGCTCACAGGTGATATATTAAAATTAAGAGAATATTCAGATAAAAACCATTAAACTATACTATATCCTTTTTTCTTTTTCTTTTTGGGTGTTGAAATCCTTGCCATATATGTAAATTCACCCAAACTGTAAGATAGTGGATGTTTTTATTAATTGCACATTTGGTTTGCATCCGTTGCACATTGGGCTGGGTGAATGTATAACACACCAATTTAAAGATAATCAAGGTCTAATTAATCAATATCAACTGCATCATATCAGAGTAGCTAATTGTAAGGCTAAGCAAATGAGAAGAAGACTAATTTTAATTTTGTTGATGCCATAAGAAAAGTCAATCCTGACAAACGCACTTGTTTCTTTTTAGTCTTTATAGAGTTCGCTTTGCGGCAGCGTAGCACTTGCACAAAAGAACTCGACTTTTACCACTGTAGTGCAATAAGTACAAATCTAACGAGTTTTTTTTTTTTTTTTTTTAAAAAAATTGTTTGAAAGATATTTGGAATTCTCGAATTCACACCACCTTCTCTTTGTATCACGGACCAACCGTCCACGACCGCAATCACCGCCTGCAAGAGTCGAATCGACCCTTTACTCTTTCACATGCTTTGATTTATAATTCCCACATAATACATAGATCATTTTGTTGTTTTATTGAAGATAAAAAAATTTAGAAGAGTCTTGCATAAAAGCCAAAGTCAAAACAATGAGAATCAAACCAAGAGTGGGAAAGAACTTAATACACTTGCATTGATATTTGGACAATATGTTACATTCTCAACAACCCCTAATTATTAGGCAAAGGAATTATAAATAAAATCTAACAAAACTTCACTCCCCTCACTAAACGTAATTTCTAAAACAAATAAATAATATACTGAAAAAATACTAATATTTAAAGCAAAAGTTAAAAATATAAACTTTTTTTTTTATTTTATTTTTTTGTGAGATTTAGTTGCCACGGGAACAAAAATCTGCCGAGAAATTAGCAGAGGCCAATGACGGCAATAGAGAGAAAGGATTGTGAGAAATTGAGATGACGAGTCTCTGTCTCGTTCACTCATTTTCACAGCACCACGAGAGGATCTGAACCTAACAAAATGTCATGGAAGTAATCGTCCACTTGGCACAACGTTGATGGCGAGTCGGTTTTCCCAAAATCAAAATCTGTGAGATGGCTTAAACCCTCACTAACAAAAACCGGTGTCGTTTCATCAAACAAGTGCGAAGCAGGCTCTTCAAACATTACCGAGTAATCCGGAGTCGATGGAAAATTGAAAACATCATCCCACGCCGGCATGTCCTGTCGGAAAAACTCGTCGAACAACCTCGTCTCATCTTGACATTCTCCCACCGGTTCAGCAAACACTTTTTCCGGTTCAACCGGTTTCTGCGGTTCGCTGGTTTCCTCGCGTGTGAATCGGAGAACCGAAGTAGGCGAAGAAAGATTGAGACACTCTTCTCCGGATTCGTAGCCGGAGCCAGACGCCTCCGATTTCGCAACAACCACGTTCATTTCTGGTTTTCCGTTGGGGACTTCCGCTTCCACCGGCTTCTCAATCGCCGGCGGAATAACGAAGTTTGTTAGAGCACCAGGACCTCGAAGCTTAATTGCGGCATTGTCATACACCATGGCTGCTTCCTCGGCAGTGTCGTAGGTACCCAACCAGAGCCGCACGCGCTTCGTCGGATCTCGAATCTCCGCCGCCCATTTTCCCCAAGGTCTCTGCCGCACGCCGCGAAACTTTCTGCCGTTGTTAGCCGCCGCCGCCGAGACCTTGGCCGGCGGCCGGGAAAGAGTGGTTTCTCCGGTGGGCCTCTTCCTGACGGTGGTTGCAACGGTTTTTTCTGCGGACTGGATGTCAATCCGGTGAACATAGCGCTTCATTCTCCGGCGAGGTAAGTGGTCTCTTTCTTCATCGCTGGAGGAGTCAGTGGCATCTGGATCAGTGACGGATACGCGAATCGCTTTGGGGCATGTGAGAATAGCAGCACCGGAGAGTTTTTTAGGCTTAGAGAGTTTTTTGGTGACTGTTGTGTTGTGAACAGTGTATTTGCATTGGATGCTCTGTTCCATGGTTTTTTTGTTTTTCTATTGTGTCAAAGAAAGTGTGTTTTGGGGGTAAATAAATAAGGGGCCAGGTTTAGGAATAAAAGAGAACCGTGAGAAAGAAGACTGAGGCAGTTGGATGGGCACTGCAAAGCTTGTTTGTGATGAAATCTGCCAAAAAAAACATGAAAAGGTGGGGAATTGAAAGATGGGGTTAAAATGAAAAAAAGGAAAGTAGTAATTGTGCAATAAATAGTATTAAAATGTGAAAGGGTCACTGTTTCAGTGGGAAGATGGAATTGGTCGACAAAGATAGGAATAAAGAGAAAAGAAGATCTCTTTTAACGTCATGGAGCGGTGATGGTGGTGAGGATTAGAAAGCACAACACAACAACACTGGATGGACTCACTCGTGCTATAAACTTCAATAAGGGCTTAAAAGAAAAGCTATAAAGAGAATTTTTTTTATGATTATTCCAATAGTGTTTGAGCAACTCTTGGCTGCAGGACACTTTCGTTGAAACTTCTTTTGACAAAAAGAGGAAAATCTTCGAATTCAAAGGAGAGGAGAGGAGAAGAGAAGGGGCAAAAAAGATACAGATTCTGTTGTTGCAGTGGCTCTTTAGGAGAGAGTGTTTTTAAGAAGAAAGTTATAAGAATTAAGAAGTAACAGTTTACTCGCTTGAGACGACCGAAACTCCGAAATCGCTGTTTTATGGGATCAAACAGCCGAAATCCGAAAGGTCGCATTTTACTGTTTTCTTGGTGCTCATAAAATAAATTAAATGTAGATTTCTTTTTTTTTTTGGGATACAATTAAATATAGATTTCATCAAATTTCTTTTATTTTAGAAAAAAATTATTTTAATTATGAGAACTTTTTATTTTCAAAAGTAATGAAAGGAACTTAGCCGGTGAGGGAGCATGACATCAAATACGACCCGCCACATACTTACAGTTTTGACACGTGGTTTCACTGTACTATAGAGAAAACATTTAGACGAGTGGAACAACATCAACGGTGGTGAGTAATCGTATGTGTTAAAATCTCGAACACTGTGATGGCAGTCACGTGAGCCCAAGAAACTCGGCTTATTAGTTAGCATAATTCAGTCAAAAAATACTTTGACTAATAAAAAAGTATCTTTTCTCTAATTGATCTTTGCCCCTTAGAAATGGTAGAGTAGAGATGAAGTGAAATTCGGTGAGGCTAATTTGGTAATGTAATAATCATAAAGTCTGAATTGGAACCGTTTTTCAAGTGGCAACCGTGGTAGTTCTGTCATATCTGTGTGGGTCAATAATTTTTTTTAGCAGTTAAAAGGTTTTTAATCTTTTAGATTTTGTTTTGCTTTTGAATTAGGATTTCTATATTAAAATTTTTACAGCTAGAGGTAGAACATAACGTGGCGAGCAACCTAGAATTCGCCGCCATTTACAATTCGGTTCTATATACGTCTCTGGGTTCTTTTCTGTTTCACTGTTACTAATATCGAGGCAGAATCTACGCGCGTCAAGCACCCCTGTGCAGCACACTCCTTTTGCTAAAAAGTAAAAACTAAGTGTAGAATAATAGAAGACATATATTATAGAAAGCTTAATTATTAATTGGTGAAAAAAGTGTGTATGATTTTAAATGATGTAAAATTATGTCATTTTAAGTGAGAGAAAAAGATAGATAAAGAAAAAAAGAGAATGGACAAAAAAAAAGTATGGTTCCCACCTTTTTGTGAGAGTGAAATGATATAAATTGTGTCATCTAAAAGGACAAACATTTTTTTCCTTAATTTTAATAATAAATTAAGTTTCTTCCAACACTTAAATTTAAGAGTAAATACCTTTTTCGATGTAAATTTTACGATAACCATTTTAGTTCCTAAAAAGGCTATTTGTGATCCCTACGAAATTCAAAGTGAACTCATTTTAATCTTTTTGAAGGACTAATGTAGGTCTTTTTGAATTTGTGAGGAATCACAATTTCAACTAAATGGGTTCATTTTGAATTTTTTAAGGACCACGAATAGCTTTTTTATTTACTAGGGACTAAAGTAGGTATCATGAAATTTACTGAGGACCAAAAAAGATATTTACTCTAAATTTAAAGTTTCAAATGAACGTCAAACTAAACAATAAGTTGTAATTTTGCGCCTTTATAGACCAGGAAAGATTCATAACTAATAAAAATCGTGGCTTGTTCTATTTCCTGTACGCTTTATATGTACAAAAATTGTAAAAGGTCACAATAAAATTTCGAACTTGACATATTAGTTGATAATTGGAACCAAAACGAGTGGATGGCCAGGATGGTTATATCCAAAGTACTCTTGTTTTTTCCTTTTCGTTTTTATGCTTAGTGATGGTTTGCTTTTGTCTAGACATTAATTAGTAGAATCCAAGTGGTTTATATGACTGCGTTAGCTCTACAGTTTACATGCTAATTGTTTGTATTTGTGTGAAGGCTCCAACAATAAGGGAACTAACTTAGCAATGTTAATACACAACAGTTCAAATTAGTGATTATATATCATGTTTTTAAGGAAAATTTATTGCTAGAAACAGAGAAAATTAACTTTAGCCAATGATATTATGCTGCTACCCAGGAAAGTAAATGACAACAGTAGCACACTATTGAATTTTTATTTTTTTTTTACCTTAATTTTGTCAAATTTGCTAAACAAAATATTATATATATATATATATAGAGAGAGAGAGAGAGAGAGAGAGAGAGAGAAATTTGAAAGTAGGTTCATGGGCCAAGTCCGGCCCTAAGAAAAGACCCAAAAAGACCCGAAAGGCTAATACAGTGTATAAAACAAAGAGGCCGACCTGTTTGATTCTATTTCAGGATTAAATAAATAATAGTGTTGAAAAAAAAAATTGTGCCAAAAAGAATAATGCAGAAAATGGAGGGAAAAACAAAAAAAATTGAAGTCAAGGACATTCTCAATGCTTATGACTTGGCAATCATAAGTCCAGCTGTGACATCGTCGTTATGTGTCACACAATGATTGGTGGTTAGCCTTTCTTAATCACAATTAGGCAAATTTTAAAAGAATAATAAATGAATGTTAATTCTGCTAAAAATGGAGAGACTGATTTTGCCGTTTTGGAATTCAAAGGCGGTTTTGGTTTATCCAGTATCCGTTTGTGGCAAGATACAAGTGGTATTAAAAGATTGAAGCATATTAAAGCATATATAATATGAATTATTAGAGATATCTTGAAGGTAAGGGACCGACCAATAATTTTAAAATAACTTAGTCTTACTATAACTTTTTTTTTTTGTAAAAAAATTACATTTATATTCCTACCTAACAGGTGTGGTCGCGGGAAGGGGAGTATGTATGTACACGCCTGCAAGTGAAAAATGAAACAAAAATATGAAGTTAATTATGGGATGCTGATCTTTCACATGCTAATGTGTTTGCAGCATTTTAATTTGTTTGGTTCTTGGAACTACACGTATATGTATTATACGGCTAGCATATATGATGCATGTATGCAGTGTAGGTCCGGTGAGTGCTATTGCTCCGTGTGTTTCTGCCGGTTCGTGTGCATAATATCGTTTCATGTGACTCAATTAATCAGTGTTTGCCTAAATTAGGTGGGGATAATTAAGAACCGATGCTCCTGACACAGCATTTAGATTCACATATATATCGGATACATTTGCAAAGGTATTCAGAATCGAGTTAATTTGATCCAAACTAGAAAAATTGAACGAGTTTATCTTTATTAAATCTGAACCACTGATTTTTACTTTAATTAAGAAAACCATATTAAGTTATTTTTTAACTTCTTAAATTAAAAAAGATAAAAATAAACAAAAAAACACAAAACATGAGACGTTATTTTCTTTTCTTGGACTTGACAAAAATTCAAACTAGAGACATAACTGATTTTGGTTGGTTCATCAGAAGAAGAAGAAGATATGTCTCAAGTTTGTGTTTTTATTGTATTTTATTTTAAAATCTTAAAAATAAGATAATATATTTTTTGAAAAAAATATGAATTAATGAATTAGATTTAATAAGTATGAATAGTTAGGATTTATTCTCTGTTAATAAGACAATTCAAATTAATAGAAAAACTTATGATAATAATAGTTAGAGTTTAAGGATTAATTGAAATAAAGTTAAAGTGGAAGATACCTATTTGCAAAAAAAAATTAAAAAAATTCTGTAAACAAAAGGGTCAGGGGCCCAATCAAAAAGAAACAAAAACTAATCAAGAAATACAAATAACTCGCTCTCTCCTTACAGAGGCAAGATCAGCCTGATATAACAATAGTATACTGTTTAGAGGTTCCACAAATACCATACGCAAGATCACTGATATTAAGGATGTAGTTTGTCAACCAATCTGCGCACATATTTCTTTTTTTGTATGTGAGTTGCAAACGAACCTGCCAATTTTTTTTAATCCATATCCATATACTAGCAATAAATTGAAGCTCACGGACTGCTTCACTATCCGAAGTGAGCACGATGATTGCACTTGAAGAATCATTTTCTATTATCACATTATTAAATTTTTTATTCCAAGCCAACTCCAGTCCACGAAGAATGCCCCATAATTCAGCTTTAAATGAGGAGTATACCTCCAATCTAACTGCAAATCCATTCAGCCACCTGCCACTCGAGTCACTTAACACACCACCACAAGTCGCCTGCCACGTGTTGCATCATTAGTATTGATTTTGACTACCCCATGCTTTGAGAATTGCTAATTAATATTAGAACAAACTTTACCATCACCAGAGATATTATGCTTCCTCGCAGATATCATGCTTCCTCTACTTATGAATGTTCATACAAGATCTGATAAATTTAATTTTTCTTTTCTTTGAATCTTATAATAAACAACTTCTGAGCTTGTTTGGATGAGCTTATAAAAAATCCTTTATTTAATCTTTTCTGAAATATTTTTTAAAATAGTAAATTCATTTTATGTTTAATTGATGTAATATGTCAAAAATAAATCTTAATGATAAAAATAAAATGAGTGGATCTCATTATATTCCATTAATTTGTTTTCTCTCTTCTTATTATAACGAGACTCACTCATTTTTTATGTAAATGTGGCAGAAAAAAATTTCTGCAGCAAAAACAGAAATATTTTTTCTAATAAACAACCACCTAAAAGTTAAAGATTAGAAGTGAAGGCCCATCAATAATTTTTATATTATATCTTTTCAGCACATCTCCTCAAATAAGAGCCTTTTAGATTTGAAGCATGGATATTGCACATACCCATTTTATTTATTCTATCTTCTGCTGTCTTAATTCCATTTGAAAGTGGAGACGATAAGTGGGGATCGAACTCGTAACCCCGTGATTACAGACCATGTTAAACAATCATTCAACTCAATAACTTAAACTTGAAAGTGAATATTCACAAATAATTTTTATATTATATTTCTCTAATAATATATTTTATAAAATTTCGTACATTGCAAAGGTAGAGATCTTGTTGTTAGGGATAAAGAGGTAAAAAAACAAAAAAAAAAAGTAACCAAAACAATTCATTGGACATGCTAAGCTAGGATTACACATGTTAAGCTTGGAGAACTCTTTCAAGTCTCAACTATACGGATCATTACTTTTGATTTTAAATTCGTTGGAATGAAAGGAAAAACAAAATAAAAAAACATGTTAGTTTGATTATGGAATCGAAAACTTGATTTAAAACCTGACCCTTGCCTTTCGCAGTTTTTGAGAATAATCTTTATAAGTTCACATAAAACTAGGCCTAAATTTTAAACGGTATTTGTGTG